ACACCGTTGCAATAATTCTCGGCTTACCGACTGAGGAGCGAGGTTAAGTGACTTAATTGTTTGTACACTTATCTCTTCTAAGTCGCTCGAATAAATGCCTTTTATTTTAACGTTTAAGCGATACGAACTATCGTCGTTAATTCGCTTACCTCCCACGGCTTCGATACGTAATCCCTCTTTACGTCCGCGAGGCGCTAACTTCTGAGCCATCCACTCCTCTATGAATGTCATGGTCGATCCCTCATCCAGAAGAGCTGTTGTCCTGACCTTTCCTCTAGGCCCATGCAACTCGACCGGTATGATCTTTAAATATGCACATGCCAGTGCATTTACTGTACTAACAGTTGTAATCTGAGCATCTTTACCCCCCTCGTCCCCTTGTGGCGAGGTATTTTCATTGGGGTATCGGTGTAGCATTCGATGATGTGACATTCTACATCCTTCTACACCACATTTTTTCGCTTTGCACTCTAACCTCCTATGGTTAGGTGACAAACATTGGAAACATACTTTGGCCTTTTTGACGGCTTCCCATTTCTCGCGAATATTCATGTCCTTAAACTTGTAACAACTCACTATAGAGTGCTCCTTGTTGCATATAACACACTTATGTGTTACCCGACTTACAGGCTTGTCCTGGGTTATCATAACCACTTGTCGGTTGTGCCTTTTATTATTTCGGCGTTCTAAACGCTCGCTCATATTACTTCGGCGCATATAGCGCTCGCTCTCGGCACAGCTGCGTACACCTCCCTTTGCAGTGTGTACAGTTTGCTTCCTGAATTCAGGACGCTTCCTTTTTTCAGGCGCATTTTCATTGCTTAAGGACGTTCCAAATTGTTCACTCAATAAATTTAAAAACTTGGCCATCTTCTGTAACTCTGGCTCCAAAGGATATTGAGCTCGATATTCAAACCATTTAAATTTAATCATAGTTCCAAGTTTCTCCACTATGCGGCTCACTAACTCCGGTGAGTATAAATACTGTGGTTGATTCAACGCTTGTATTGTGGCAACCACGTTCGTAATACGACTTGCAAAAGATCCTATATTTCGGCAATCTTCTGCCAATCTTGGCATACGCTTTACATTCTCGATTTCGGCTAGAATGAGCATCTCAACCCTACCGAATCTTCTTTCGAGAGCGTTCATTATTTCTTCAGGTTCACATAAAGTAAATAACAGCGACTTAACCGCCTCTTTAGCGGTGCCCTTTAATGCCCTCCTAAGGCGTGCGACATTTTGCACCCCTGAAAATTGGCCTTTTGTGTCTTCAAACACCGTTTTGAAAATTATCCATTCACCCGGGTCTCCATCGAACACCGGTAATTCCTGGAGGAAATGAAGCTGGGAAGATTTATCTTTACCAGCTATTTTTATTGCACTCACAATCGCTTCGGTCAATTCTGACACCTCACTCGCGTGTGTTTTCTGTGCATTTCCTAGGTTGCGCTCGACCTCCGCCCCTTTGCGGCGTGATCCTTTACACGCTTCCTTATCAGTAATATCGGGTTGTGCTACACTAACCGGCGCGCTCATTATGGTTTGCTGAACCCAACTCCTTACGAAAGGTTCCACCTGAGTATTCCGCTCTTCATCATCCTCACTCGAGTCGATTTCCTCTTCTCGGTTGAGTCGTGCCAACTCCAATTGAGACTTGGCTAAGGCAGCAGCTGCCTGTGCTCGTTCGAGCTCTGAGCGTTCGAATTTAATCCGCGCCTCTAATTCGGCTTTCAGCCTCGCCGATCGCGATGACCTACTACCTCTCTGTGACCCTTTATCACTAGTGTGCCCGATTACTGTCCTTGACGATGCCGCTTCTTCGGTCCTTTGACCTACTTTTTCGACCACCGTTTCACTCCTGGATATAACGGATTGTTGTGCGGTGCTGGCCTGTGTACCACTGGTGTCCGTCCTGTTGCTCGTCGTTGCTATGGACGTCCCTGAGTCCCACGTGCATGTGGACGTGTCTGTGGTGGCTCCACTTGAAGGAGTTGCTCCATTTGACGCAGTAGCTGTGGTCGCTCCAGATGATTCCGCTTCTTTAGCTTTTCTTGAGAGCCCTGTCCTTGTCCTGCTCCCTTCGCTTCTCCCTGTCTGGTCTTGTGCCTTCTTCATCTTGCAGGAAGGTGATTGTTGGCCTACGGTCCCTAACTGTCCCTACAGTCCCTACGGTCCCTACAACCCCTTACCTACAACCCTTCTACACCCCAACCTAACACCACTACCCCTCCCCCCTTTATCTCCCAACCCTACAACCCTACTACCACCCTAACAGCCCTATCAGCCCTATCAATCCTGAACGGGGCCTACCGAGGTGAGCCGTCCAGGGATGGAGTCGTGCAGGAATGGAATGGAGGAAAGGTTTAGGAACTGTCCCGCCAAGGAATATGACGAAACAGTCGAGCGGTAGTGCAAGCGCAGTCTCGCTCGAGAGAACTGCTCCACCCGAAGGTGTTATGCCAGAGCCCAACCGTTTGGCACCGTTAGGTGGTCGGGATGTATGCTGTGCTCGCCGCCCAGTTGCCGGTGACGCCTCGTCCAAGCGCCCTCCTCCGGCCGCGATGCAGTCAGGTGCCCACGCGCACCCTCGCCCGGCAGCAGCAGCGGTGGATGCTTTTTGCACCCTGATGACCCGACGGGAAATGCCGGACACGGTCGTCCGACAGGAAATGCCAGACACGATCGTCTGACAGGAAATGCCAGACACGATCGTCTGACAGGAAATGCCGAGCACGCTTGCCCGACAGGAAAAATGCCAAGCCCTGCTTGGCCACGATGAGTGCCTTCACAAGACACCTGCGCCCGGCTGCGATATGTGCCCCATGCGAGCACACGCCCCAAGCTGCAATCCCGGTTTTCTTTCTTCCGGTAGTTCCAGGTCCAGCCCTTCAGTGCTGCCGTCCTGGTCTTCAGGCCTTTGGTCCTATTGCTTCAGCTCAAACCTCTGGCTTCCTTCGGTTGCTGATCTTCACTCGGCTTCCGAAGGTCTTCTTCTTCCACAACCAGCAGTCCACAGCTGGTTCCTTGATCCAGCTGGCGGGGTTCGGGTGGTCTTCAATCCGGCTCCGAAGGACCAATTGAAAAGGACCAGGTCGGTGTCCCTCTTGATCCTGAAAAGGACCAATTGAAAAGGACCTAGCGGATCGGGTACTAAGAAACAGGAATCGAGGCTTCTCTCGATCCGGCCTCCTATCACGCCTACGTTGGGTTCGGGAACAACGTATGTGATCTCCGCAACGGAGTAACACACTAGGGCGATAACCTCTTCCTTTTCAGCAAGTAGGTTCAGACGGGGATTACGGGTCTTCCGAAGTCGTCCCGGTCCCGACGCCTTAATTCTTCGATGTGGACTGTATAACTTAAAGGATCTTGGGAATGAAACAGCAATTATCTTCAAACCGTTCCGTGAGAGAGTAATCACTTTTCCCTATACTGCTGGTTTTTCACTTTTCTTGAACTTTTTCCCGGATTATCTTATTTATTTCCGAACTATTTCCTTGAATATTTCCCGAACGATTTCCTTGAATATTTCCCGAACCATTCCCGAACGATTCCCGAATATTTCCCGAACCATTCCCGAACGATTCCCGAACGAATTGCAATAAAATCAATTTACTATCCTACCCCTAAGCTAAACGCGAAAGTGAGCCGCGCCATCTGCGCGCTTGCGCAACTTAATTACATGAATTTGTACTATTACTCTCTCACGTTTCACTCAATATCTTTATTTATTCAAATCATATACAAATACAATTTATCAATATAGGTAGTACAAAACAATATCTACACCATGATATACATCATATCCTCATATCATAAAAAACCTTTTATTTATTAAACGAAAACTGCCTATTTTACTCACAAGTTCGAAATCGAAATTTCTTAAATATTTAACACAGAAAGTTAAAACAATGTTTCTCACTTGAATTTATATATAAGCTAACCAATACAATAGTTTAATTTACATTTTTTCTATTTATTTCACTATTTAAAACACTTTTAAATTTCTTATACAAAACTATCATTATTTCACTTATACACAGGAATTTTCACATGAAAATAACACAGAATTTACCTTTTTAGCACGTACAATTAACCTGAAATATTTTACAAGTAATTTTTACATAAATCACTGAATTACAAACATTTTAAATTTTTACATATTCGGCCTCCTAAGGGCGTGGCCAGCGTGCTTCCGTGTACTCACGCTATGTGAACAACTAACTTTGCACGGCTCTCGGCTATCAGAAAAAATTAAATTATGAAATACACCAATTTTGACCATATTAGGCAAATTAAATGCTTTTATACAATTTTCGAACTGTATGAAACTATCTTTAATCAGATAACAATATAAATGAATGTTCTCATTAATCAATCATAACAAATAGGCATTTGTTTTCGTTCAAAACGTATCAAACTTATACAAAACAACATTTATGCAATTAATATCCATTAATTCTGCCTATGCACAGAGTGATTATCTCGACCGGGGAACAAATCCGATCTTTAACTTCACTTTAATATTCTTATGAATTTACATCATTTGAAAGATGATTTCAACCGGGGAACAAATCCGGTAACATAATTTATATCTTAAATTCCTTACGAATTTATTAAGCGATATTACTTAGGAAAACAAACAAACTAGTCCGGCCTGGGAGTCGAACCCAAGACCTTCATATCATTAATTCGACATTTCTTAAAGATTTAACTAAGCATTCTCTTATCAGAGCGTCGTTGCTCGTGACTGCCCCTTTTTTCATAGCAACGTCATCGGTTGATTTAATAAACTGAAACATTTTTATAGGCGCGTCGCCAACAACGTATGAAAGGAAGTTGACGGGTGATTTTTGATATGTTTATTTTAGTGCAATTAGATTTTCCTATATTGTCATATATCACACTATGATTACGTAATGATGGGTGGATTCTCTGTCACCGCCGTTTTGAATTTTTTTTATTGGAAAATAATGTAATATTTTTATTTGTTACAGATATCCAAAATTATCCTGAGATAAGTTAGTTTCGTTAGAAGTCTGTTCTTGTGGTTTGTATACTGAAGGAGTCAGTGACTTAAATATCATTCAATTTTCTAGTATAGTTGCATCACTAGATCATCACAATATATTACAGTGTTTTTATACAGCATTATTGTAATATTTAAACTGGGTAATGAACAATTTTTTCTACAAACTTATATTTGTATGGCTCTATAGTAGAGATGCCTTAAACATTTGAATAAATGTCATAACTTTCTTTCCTTTTGGTTTTGTGTTACTTTATACATTGTGCAATTAAATATTTTTATTGTTTCTATTAATCGTTATTTGAGCGAATAACTGTTTTTTTTAAATGGTGACTGGGCAATTTTCCAAGAAGTTAAAGTCTATCTAATTTGTATGGAATAGGATACATTAAAAATGCATAATATTACTATCATCACATAAGTTTTAACAGTGAACAGTATTTAAATAAGGGTAGTACTAGTTTTATAATTAACTTTAATAACCTATACATTTGTATGTATTTGAAAATCTGTAAATGCTGCAGTTTAAGTGTCCTTGCATAATCTGTGCGCAATTAACTATTAAGCATTCCTAGATACGCATTTGTAAGTTTTTATCTTTGGATGGTGGTTATAATTTAGATGACTATTGTGTGTGTTTTGTTATTTTTGAATATGTTTTATTTATTTGTTTCCTTGTGGATATTACTGAAATATAAATAAAAACTAAAATATATGTTCAATGTCGTTTCATTTATCTATCCAGTTTTAATTATGGTTTGACGTGGTCGAGCCACGCTGTAACTATAATATATTGAAATAATACTAGTTTTTACGGAATTTATCGCGTATATTTTAACTTTTTAAATACCCAACGTTTCGAACGCTTTACAGCACTCATGGTCACGGGCAGGACTGAGATGTCACATGTAACATCTCAGTCCTGCCCGTGACCATGAGTGCTGTAAAGCGTTCGAAACGTCGGGTATTTAAAAAGTAAAAATATACGCGATAAATTCCGTAAAAACTAGTATTATTTCAATGTGTAGTGTTCGCGTAAATATAAGAAATCATTAACTATAATATAGCTTAAGCATGAATGGTTCGGCTTGACCAAGCTCTCATAAAATACCAGCGTGAAAAAGTAGAATAATTCTATGTTTCGTATGGTAGGTGTAGAGAACTTGAGACCCTTTTTACTGGTTACGAGCTTCAAGGCATTCCATCTCAGACCTCAGGGGAGGCAACGCATCTTGATTTTTATTCATAATTAAGTTGGAGGATGTCTGTCACAGCGTCCATTTACCATCAGGTGGACAGTGTGCTCGCTTGAAATAAGGTCATTATTCTATAAAAATAATTGTAATAAAATATTGAGCTTACTGGCTGGCGAGGTGGGCTAGGTATTTATGGATATAATAGATATATGAGCAACCCAAGCTGTCTGCTATAACTGTACAACTTTCCATACATCATAAAAGTCCACTGCTGAGCATAGGCCTCCCCATAGGTTGCCTCAAAGGAGGGATTTTGCCATAGTTGCTACGCTTGGCAGGCGAAATGGCAACCGCAGTTATTATTATTATGAGTTATTTTATGTTTTATTTCCTTCTGTCACCTAAACCTGCATGGTTCGGGATACGTGATTAAAACTTTTACACAAAAACGATTATATTTTAAATTCAATAATTTTGGACAACCCATTGTTTGACTTTCTATTAGCGCCAAGATCGCCAAGCACCCAGATGCTGAGGATGTAATCGGGAATTTTGACGCGATGTTCGTTCGTGAAATTTGGCGGCTGGAACTAATCCGAACAATTCCTCAGAACACTCCCCATGGTAGATACGATGGGAAATGATGTGATGCAACATCCCTGCAGCGCCAGTGAGTCGAGCCGATCAGAAAGAACTCGGTTGTCGACGATTGAAATTATTGAGGGTTAACGGAGGAGATAGGTTCCTGAGGCGGCGGGTTGAGCAGAGCGGTCGTCTTACCAACGTTGACGACCATCCTCCACTCATCTAGCCATGGTGGCAGCAAGTCCAGCAGACGTTGCATCCTGGCAGTGGCAATGTGGGCTCTTCTGGACGAGGTGAAATAAGAGCTTACGTCCGCGTATAACGCCAATTCCACGTCATCCTCCCACTCTTGCAGCCTTCCTGCCAGTGTCGGGATGTCGTTGGTATAAGCCGCGTACTGGACTGGAGACAAACAGCTGTCCTGAGGAACGCCGGCTCTGATGGTTCTGGTTGCGGACACGGCGTCCTTTACGCGGACGTAGAACTTCCTGTCTGCCAGGAAAGACGCCACAAGCCGCAACATAGCAGGAGGGACACTGGTCTGTACTTCCAATTTATAAAGTAGTCCAAAATGCCACACCCTGTCGAACGCTTTTTCGATATCAAGAAAGACGCCCAACGTATTGCGGCCACGGTTGTACTCGGCCGCAAGCAGGTGCAGCACTCTGGTCAGCTGTGTTGCTGTAGAGTGATCCCTCCTGAATCCATGCTGCTCCGCCCGAAGTTGGATCCACGGACGGAGGCGTCTTAGCAACAGTCTTTCAAGCAGTTTAGCTATGTGCGGTAGCAGCGTGATCGGCCTGTAGCTGGCAGCTCTACGCCTGTCATTCCCGGGTTTCGGCAAGACGATAACTTTGCCTTTCTTCCAGTCCTCCGGGAAGTGGGATGTCCGCAATATCCCATTGTAGAGTCGACCAAACTACTAGGACTCTATGGGACAGCTGTTGAAGTGCAGCGTTGGTAATCCCATCGTGCCCCGGCGCCTTCCTCGGCTGCAGGCGGGTTACTGTCCTCCGCAGTTCAGCGGGGGAGATGAACCACTCTCCTGCCAGAGGCGGCGCGGGCGACGACAGGAACTCCTGTATGCGACTCACCTTCCGGGCATGAAGCTCCATGAACTCCGCACTTGCTGGGTTCGGCATAAATTGCTCCTCGAAGTGCTCTCCTAAGATATCCGCTCTACCCTTAGCATCGTAACGACATTCGCCCGCGTTGTTGGTCAGCAGGCAAACGGGAGGTTTGGCTTTAGTTGGCAGTCGGTTCAGTTTGTAGAGCGACGCATCATGCTCTTCCGCCTTCCATACGCGTCGCTCACAGGCATTTCCTCTGTGTGCCTGGACTGCAACCGACAGTTCCTCCGACAAGGTGTTCAACTGCGTTTTGATTCTCGGGAAGCGAGTACGCGCCCAGAGCCTCCTCAACGCTCTTTTCCTTCTGATCTGCACGCTTATCTGTAGCGGCAGATCGTCTGTCCTTGCAGTAATCAAGACGATCGTAGAGGCAGCGTGGAGGGCCTCTTGTATCGCCTTAGAAATTCTGGTAGCAGCGGCCTCTACGCCGTCCGCTGTGCTTAAGGGGTGGTGTGCTGGAGGTCTCTCCTGTAGGTGTTGATGGTAGAGCCTCCAGTCGACACGTGTCTTAAATGCTCTGGGCGGCGTAGTCACCGCCTTTAGGCCAAGGTTAATCATGATCGGGAGGTGCTGTGTTAATGTGTCAATTCAGGTCGTACAGCACCTCTACCACTATCGGGTAGTTGACGTTCCTAGAGAGCACGATGTCCAATACATCCGAACGACTCCGCGGATCTGTCGGAACGTGTGTGGGATCTTCGGGACCTAAGACATCATAGCCGTATCTTTCGGCGTCTTCAAACAGTGCATGACCCAGCGGGTTGATCACTCTGGACCCCCACGCCGGGTGTTTGGCGTTTAGGTCCCCGGCGATGATGGTCGGAGTTTCGCCTTCCAACACCGTCCGGACGACTGGTGATATGGTCTCTGGCGCAGCGAACACACTTCACTGGCCTGAAGCAATTTGTGGATGCGTGGCCAAAGGCCTGGCAGCGGTGGCATTGTGATGGGCCTGCTCTTCCTTGCCAGGCCTCTATGACGACTCCTCTCATGAACAGGAGTTCGTCGATCTAGTAGAATTCGTTAAGGTGCTCCAGGCACCCAGGTCTACCTCTACGGGGAGGGGGATCCCTTTCACATATTTGATCGGGAACCCCTTTGCACTCATAGCCCCCTCTATCGCGGTTGGATCCGTGCCCACTGGCAGTCCCCGAATGCCCACTTTTGTGGGCTTGTCCTCTTCGGGAGTATAACAGTACCAGGACATGGTTGGTACTTTTTCGGTCATCTCTATCAGGTATTTTTGAACCGTCCGGAATTCTTCCGGACTTTGGGGAGTGAACCTAGACTAGCATTCGGTGGGTGGCCCACTTCTTGTTGAGCACCTCGAAGTGTTTCGTCCAGTCCGGTAAGCACTCAGCCACTATGGGCGGGTGTCTCTTAGTTGTTTCTTCCGGCGGTTTTGGCGCCTCAGCTGTCCTTGACCTTGGTACTACTGGGGCAGCTGCCAGTTGGGCATAACTTGTCGAAGGCCTTTGACCATCATCCGATGGTCGGCCTGACGGGTTGGTTATTGGCGCGGATGGTGAGTGTCCGGCAGATGTGCTAGGTGCTAGTGGTTGTACTCCACCCGTATGACCCTTCTCCTCCCTGTTCCAGATCAGCAGCATCCATGCTGGTAAGTTGATCCGGTGATCTGGGAGGGATTGGTTTGATCGGCCGATTTTGGTGGAGATCTCCGGATAGGTCTTTCCGTTTGCTGTTGTTCGTTTTCTTCCTCGGATGTCGAATTATCCGAGGAGTGGGAGGATCCGAGGCATTGCCTCTTTTCCTGTAGGGATGCTGCTGTTTCGGGTGCAGTATGCCTTCTTGGCCTTCTTCTTGGCCCGCTATTGCTGGGGGAACGGTTCATGCCCAGTCGTACACTCAGGTACGATGGGCGAGAGCGCGGTCCTCGGTGCGGGCTCCTTGCCCGGTGATGAAGGTTATGAGTCGGGATCTGCGAGTAGGAGGACACTACTCTAGTCTGTTCCGGGTTGAACATATCCCTGTACGCGATAAGTCTTTCCAAAACGCCAGGACGGTCCGGTGGTTTTCTAGTTTTAGGTGGGGGCTCCCCCTTGTCCTTATCGGACGTGCTAAGAACCTACCTAAAGTCAGTCAGGTAATCTAAATGTGGCCCTATCTGAGATACCAGCCGATCGGCACGGTGCGCCGGAAGTCACTAGTTGTAGCATGAATGGGTCGGCTTGACCGGGGTAGGTCAACGCTCTTACTCAATACTCAATACTTATTTGCATTACATACTGTACAAAGAACACCAGCGTAAAATAGCAGCTTAATACTTCTGTGTTTCGTATAGTGAGTGTAAAGAACCACAGTTGCGTAGAATTATCATAGTCACTGCAATCGGCAGGATGAGCGCTCGCACTACCAGACATTTCGTCCTCTGATGCTGCTCCCAGGTTTTAGTCGGTGGCAAATATATAAATCATAAAACATAAACACTCATGCCTGTCACCCAGAGGGGTAGGCAGAGACTACAGACTTCCATTTGGCACGATCTTGACACACCTCTTTCGCCTCTTTCACATCCATATACCTACGCATACATACTCGTCGTTTAAGGGTACTCCCATAGAATTGTTAGGAGTCTATGGATACTCCTAATTTGGCCCGTTTTCAATAAATCGCCAATTTGGTCGATGAATTTTCGCCTAGGACGTCCCTTTCCGATGTAGTAGTAGTAGTAAAAGTATGTAAAAGTGTAATAATAATCCTATATAATCAAATTTATTAATACAATAAAGAGAGTCTTATATCATCATTCGTTTGTTTAACTCCTCTTCTAACATTCGCCCTACATGGCGACCCTGCCGAAGTAATTCGCGACGCGAATATGACACCCTCCGCCGTATTTAGAGTGAAACATTTTTTCTGTGTGCAACTGATGAACTAAATCAAGCTATGGCGTTCTATCGTGAGCTGCGCGACTGTGTAGGGGGAATCCGGGAGACTTGAACACCCTCTTACAAAAATGACTGTAAAATCTTACTGATTTCTTGTAGATATCTCAGTCTTTAACACTTGGATTGCTTAATTCAATAGGCTTCGATTGGTGGTACAAATGTTATAATAACTTTTATCTACTAAGAATTATGGAACTTTTTTTAAAAAGTCAGAAATGGTTCAAATCTCCCCAACCCATGGGACATTTGACCATAGGGTTAGGGAGATTTAACCATACTTTCTGTTACTGGGAAAACATTATTTTAATCAATTAACAAAACGTAAAAACAGTTTTGACATTTTATGAATGTCACTTACTCTTAATTAACTGTAATTATAAAGAAATCAATAATCAGTCTTAATTATAATAAGGCACTTATAAAAGTAACATCGTAATTAGAGATCAAGGTCAGTCAAAATTGTTTGTGGCACTTATATCCACCCTTAAAGTATTTTTATTGAATTAATCACATTCTGTACACATGAAGTTTTCAGAATCGTTAATAGTTAGCCCTACACATTCCTCGTGGACATACCTTTTACAAGAAATACTAAGACGCATATCCAAGAGTTCTTCAGTACCACAAATAAAGCAATACCAACGAGTATCCAACTCTGGTACTCCTTCCCCTTCCCAGTCACCGTCATTAGAGCTATCAGCATAAGGAATACAATCAAAATTTCCCTTTGTCATTGTCTCATAAATTATTGTATCTGCTCATGGGGTGGAGCTCCCAAAACGTACCTTATAGAGGCCGAGAGAGCTCAAAGATCTATATTAAAACTAATACTAAATCTTCCTTATACACACCCAACATCTAAAGTATATGAATTGGCAAATGTCCTAAGTGTACGAAAATCGTATATATACCAATGCATAAAACGATATCATAATATTTGCCCCATAGATGTAGATAGAAACAAAAGAACACAATTTCCAGTACCATTTGTCAAAAGCGCTTTAGCAAAAAGGCAATATGACTACCAAGCACCTCATATTATACAATGCTATTAATAAAAAAAATTATATAAAAGAACTTATAACGACACCAAATTAAACAAACTATTTTAAATTGGCTAAAAGAATACGACTATGAAAACTGTGAAAACCTACTTTAAGCACATATTTTAACAAAAACAGACACAAACAAACACACACACACACACACACACACACACACACACACACACACCCACACACTTACACACACGCACACGCACGCATGCATACACACACTTTGTTTATTTTTTACTTTATTTTTTTCTTGATCTATGTTTAGAGTCTGCATTGTGCACGGAATGTAAGATAACTGAATGGGAGGGGAAACTGCCTCCTAACATACAGGGTAACCTAGTTTAGGAGTCAGGGTATCTATGAATTGTATATTAATTTCTGTGTTCAATAAAGAATTATTATTATAATCGTCATAAATTTTCTTCAGATTCACTGTCAATTGAGTGAGCTAACGTGCGAGAACGTTTCTGTTGTTTATTTATTTTCCTTTTTTTGGTTTTTGCTGGTCCTGTATCTTTGTTTCTTTTTATTTTATTTTTTCTTGCTTTAGTTTTTCTTTCATTTTCTTAGAATCTGTTTTAAAATCATCTTCACAATCTGTGTCATTGTTCTTTTCTTGTAAAACTTGCCTCTTTGCTTTTCTTGTGTCTATTTTCTTTCCTCTTTTAATATTCTTCTTAGCTTTAGTTTTAGAGGACTTGTCACCTTTGGCCTTAGTTGTTGTTTTCTTAAGAATTTAATTTGAATCATCATCTGTAATTTTTTAAGGAGTTTTTGTTAGAATTTTTGTTTTTCCAGGTTGTCGTCCACGCCGTGTTGTCTTTCAGGGTGCAGCTTTTGGATATGGCCTTATTATTTATGGTGTAATAGTTACTTTTGTAGTAATATGGTCCGGAGTTTGCGGAATATCCAGCTTTTGTGTCAGAGTAGGTGAATTCGGAGGATAATAATAATTTATATCAGTCTCTTGGCACTGATGAAAAGAAACTTCTAAATTACAATTTAATTTAGCCATGAGAGTGTCATTCAATTTAGTGAGGCAACAATTCACCAAGCTCTCAGTATAAACTTTAGAACAGTTGAGTGAATTTGGTTCAGAGTCTAATGGTGCACGTGAAAAGCTTTTTAAGACTTTGTCAGAGGTTTGCGGACTTTTCTGAGCTGGAGGGTTTAGTTGGTTATTTGTTAGAGAAACAGTCACCGAATCCAGAAGCGAAACATTATTTAAATCAAGCACGGGACTAGATGGAGGGTCCTGAACTTCATCATTAGGGATCTGTTGAGATGTTGACGGAATTTTCTGATCAACGTCGTTGAAGCTCTGCGGAAAATCTGGTGGATCTTGCTGAGCGCTTGAAAAGACAAGCTGAGCTTGGCGACATTGAGACGAACTACTGGGAAGTTCATAATTTTCATTGGATATATCCCTATCTGTTACAGCAGAACACATGAAATCTTCATCACTGAATAGATTATTATTATAAGGATGTATTCCCGATTTTTTGAATACGCTTAAAATGTTTGCTTGGCTGAATGCTTGCGACATAATCTTTTTGATGAATCCAGGAATTTGGTATATCGTTACTGTCCTTCCAGGATTTGAAAGCATCCAGTTGCTCAACGTAGTATTATATCTCGATTTAAATGACGAATATACAGCGATATCCGATAAGGCGAATAGCGATAAGGTTGCAACTTATTGCTGAAGTGTAAGCATGTGATGCCGTTGGATTTTGCATAACTTATCACTTCGATGCTCAAATGGCTTTCGTGGTTATCAAGAATTAATAACACGGGATTATCTTTCGATACATGGGAGTGCGTTTTGAAATGTTCCATGAATTTTAGGAAGCTCTTGGATAGCATTCAACCCGTAATGTATGAATCTCCATCAGACCCTTCAGGTCCCCCATTAACAAAGTCAGGTCGGTATTTAACACGGGGAAATATGAAAAAAGGAGGCATGGCATTTCCAATGGCGTTTACAGCGAAGCAGACTGTAACTAGAGTGCCTCTTTCAGCGGAGGTGGCATGTCCTACTTGCTTGGCTTTTTTACTTGCCAATACTTTGGGGCATTGTTGGACAGTAGTACAGCCAGTTTCATCACAATTATATATATTTGTGGCTCAAAATTATACTTTTCTCGCACTTGCTTCAAGTTTTCGTAAAAGTCTGTTACATTTTTTTGTTGAAACTTACAAGTTTCTACAGCTCGCGACAAACCGGTGGCTTCAGGCGTCCTTAAGCTTATTCTTATCGGAACCAATCTTTACCAGCAAAATTGTTATTTGTCCAATTTTGAGGTATTTTTTTATTATTTGCTAGAGCATAATCAAAGGCTAATTGCATGGCTTGTTTTCTCGTCAGTCCGTAGTGCATTTTACTGCATGCCAAAATGTAGTTTACTAATTGCTTTTCTTCCCTATTGTCAAAAATCTGCGAGTTTTTGTACTGACTACCTTTTTCTTCTATTTAATTGAATGTCGCTTCACCGCGAACATGGTACCTTCTTAGAGTCGTTCTATCAATGTCATATTTAATGGCTGTTTTTCTAATAGAAGCACCTCCCTGAATCTCACTAATAGCTTGCTCAAGGTCACGCTTTGGGTTTGTATTGAAACGGCATCTTCGTCCTGGAATTTTAAAAAGAGCACTTAGCAACAGTCAACAGACGCAGCTGTAGCCACTGAAGGGAGACTTGAACCAATGATCATATCTCCCACCGACTAAGTGGTTCAAATCTCCCACACCCCCCCTTTCCGGATTCTAGCTTGCAATACTCAGATACCATAATTTGCAACAAAATGCCATTGTACACACATTCAAATACGATAATCATGCTATAATATAATAAAACTAAATCTTACTTACCTTCATTAATCGATTCACAGCGATCAAAACAGTATTTCTATTTATATTTACTTGAGAATAAGATAAACAGGTATATGCCGGTCAAGATCCAACGCGTATGAATTTTGACAAAATGGCTGAACGCTCGTGATTGGCTGCCACCTGATCACCTTATTAGTGGGCAATCAGGCTGTTAGTGCGAAAATTCAAATGAGAAATCAGAGTCGGTTCAGGTCTGCTCCCTGGGCAAGTCTCCCGGATTCCCCCTACTCGTGTTTAACAAAAAATTTACGAAAAATAACATCCAAGACGGGCGGTAAACAGACTAAAGAAGAGACCGTAATTGTGCAATACGCAGTGGGGAGCAATAAGGCATGAGTTAAACAATTGCAATTTTACCTGACTACGAGTAGGTAATATTTTGCTGTCTATCATTGTGCTGGTACTTCTACTGGGGTCCCTATATTGCTTGTATCGGACATATAAGCGATGTCATATAAAGTGGATTAACACAGAATAAACAGAAATACCCTAAGAAGGTCTATTTTTCGGCAACCAAACCCCCCACAAATGTGGAAGAGGCAAGTCAACCAAGGGCGTATTATAAAGTATGACCGGCGCTGATCGAAGTTTAAAAGTGGCGTTTACGTGCATATAAAATGAGTAAAAAGTGCGTGTCTATTAATAGTGCAAAAAAGGGTATTGTGTTTATAAATCAACTACATTAATCTGGGACTCTAGTCTATATTACTGAAAATTATATTTTAAATTAAATCATGTATTCGTTGTAGTGTCTTTAATCGTCATTTAACCGTATTATTATTATATTAAATATTTCGTAAAATTATTAATTAATTATTGGTGGTAAGTTATGAATATTTCTTTAGAACAGTTATATGAGAAATTAAAAGAAGTGAGAACATATTTAATTAAAATTGGACTGAGTAGACGTGAAGGAAAAGTTTTAGATACTAAACTTAAAGAGGCCAATGAAATATTTACTAACAATTCTAAGTTGTTAATAAATTTTAATAGTAAAGTAAAGGAAGGTAAGATTAAATCTACTGATATTCCATCTTATCAAACCTATTGTAAGAATTTTGAATCATTATATCAGGATATTATAAAATTGTGTAAGTCCGTGTGTGTACAATCTGAAAATCCGAGAAATATGGATACTTTCGATTTAAAACGGCTTTGACTTTATTACCTGTTATGTCAATATTATATAATAGACAATATTCAGTATTAATAATTCTTTGTTAACAAAACAGGAATGCAAAAAGAATTTAATTAAATTTATATTAAAAAGTAGATTATCTCAATCTGCTAAATTACGTCTTCAAGACGATTACTCTAATGTTGAAGACTTGGTTAGTGACATGCAGAAAGAGTTGTTGCCAAGAAAAGGAGCAGCAGCAATTCAAAATAAATTGCAAAAATTACGCCAAAATGATATGTCAATTGCCGATTATGGAAAACAATAAATATTAAAAACAAATAACAGAGTTATTTGTGGACCTTACGATATCGCAAGCCAACGGTAATACCGAATATTACAATATTTTGAAAACTGTTAATGAAAAACAAGCGATCAAGCAATTTTCCGAAGGCTTACGAACTCGTCGAATCAGCACAATAATTTCTACTAGAAATTACAGCTCTCTGAAAGATGACATTGAAGCAGCTCAAGATGAAGAGACTTCATCATCATCGGCCGCAGGAGAGGTGATGGGTATGTCCAGTAAGAAATTTTATTATCCTAGGAATTTTCATCATAATTCTAGGTACCCACGCGGCAACGGGCGTAATCGGCAAATGTTTTCACAGCGAGAACACTACATGAAAACTCGCAGCGATCGAGTTCATAGAACCACTCGAACTCACGTGGCCGAGGACAGCGAGGAAGATATAATCGAGGTACGTTTCGTAATTATCGCGGAAATCAAGGGGTAAAAAGAAATATAGTCAATATAATTAATGAAAACCAGGAATCAACTTCAAATGAACCCGACTAAATAAGTTTTTTCGAGAATAAACAAAATCATTTAATTTTGGCTAGTAGTAATAGCAATTGTTTTATTCATTTACCAGTTTCATCATGCAATAAAACTTATTCTTTCTTAGTCGAGACGGGCGCATCTTTATCCGCCGTAACACATAAACATGCTATCGAATTAAGTGTTTCATTACATAAAGAGAATGTAATTATAAACGGTCTAGTGGCTAGGTGGCGAGGTGCAAACAATCGGATATGTTTATGTTCCATTAATGATTCATGGATCTGTTATTAATCACAAGTTCTTTGTTTTTAATTCGTTACCAATTTCGTCGCATGTGTTATGTGGCAGAGACAAAAACTCTTTTAAAAATAAATTTATTTAATATATTTAACTATAATACAAAATAACTTAAAATATAGAAGTTGAGTCAGAGAGTTTGGAAATAGAATTGTATTGTGGGATCGAAGGACTTGGTTTATATAGTGTAGGATCGTGGGAAGCTAGGAGCGGTAGGGGTAAAGATAAGGGAATAACATTATGCTTGTTTGTGTTTATCGTTAACTTATTCTAAGATACAATTAAGAATGGTAAACTTTGGAACAGTAAACATTAGTATTTAAATATTACAATCTAATTAGTTTGGTTTCTAGGTAAACAATGTAATTTAGATTTAAAGTAAATAAGTAATATAAGAATAACAATATAGGAGTATAGAGGACTTATAATATAAAGTAAATAGTATATAACACAAGAATAGAACCTATAATATAACACCTCCCCCCCTTAGAACAAAGATTGAGCGGTTTTGCTCGATTTTTGAATGTAGTCAGCAGCTTCGTCTTCGTCTTCTGATATGCAGGATGTTGTAGCAGTGGTGTTTATCGATGACATGGGAACTTCGACGTGTTGTTGGCGATGAGAACGGTCAAAGCAGTTATTAAAAATTTGTATACAGTTGCCATGTAGATTTATGGCCATGTTATTCCATGGCAAGCACTTGTAACATTTGTAACAAAAATATCTTAGCATAATGATGCCAGTAATCAAACCAAATATGGAAAATTTTGTTGCATGTGTTTCTGAGAATGTAGATTTATTTTCTTTAAGTAATTTTGAACGTATTTTTATTTGGTCTCTAACCGAGTTAAGAGAGTCGAGTTGGATGTTGTTGAGCTGGATTGGTGCAAGTTCTGGTTGTTGTAGTTTAATTTCTTCTGGGAGGCAAATGTGTTCAATATCCACAGAAGTAAAAGGATGACTGATGTTGATCGTTTTAGTGTCCTCAGCTAGGAGTGTAACAAACGCGGTGTACAATTTACATCCTTGTTCTAGAGTGATGATACCTGCTCCAGAGATTTCGCCGTGAGTTGTTTTGCTTTCGCACTCTAAAGCATACGGAGTCTTGCGTTGGAGTATGTAGATCCAGTTGTTGTTTCTAAGAGCTTGAAAAGTATTGATATGAGCTGAAAATGTAGTGATATCACAGACTTCAGGAACTTGTTGACTCGTTGTTGTTAGGATGACAACTTCGCATATAGGTCTGGTGTTGATGTTGTAGATGAGAAGATCCCTGCAGACTTTGGATTCCGTTGCAAAGTCTTTGCATTTGTTCAGTGAGCTCATAACGACGTATTTCTGTCTAGTGGTACTCATGGCAAGGTATGTTTGTTCGGGAAGGATAGTGGAATATAAGGAGGAGTCAGGATGTAGCATAGGGATAGAATATAAATGGTATAATATAAATTTTTCGTTTTT